GTTTCATGAACCCAGGTCTTGGGTTCCTCATGTTGCTGGGTTCCGCAAGGAACCCAGATTTGGGTTTCATGAACCCAGGTCTTGGGTTCCTCATGGAACCCCCTTGCTGGGTTCGCGGAGGAAGAAGGGTGAGAAAGAGGAAGGGGCAGAGGGATAAGAGAGAAGAAGGGAGGAAGAAGAAAAAGAATATAATAATAATAAATTATTTGAGTTTTTATTTAAATATGAAAAAAATATCACATGAAAAAAGAAAAATGCCATCAAGTTGGTTTTAGTCCACATCATCAATTTTTTCCATGTGGCATGACGTGTAATAACACGTCAACAATGAAAAAGAAAAAAGACAAAATATTTAACAGATTATAGTGCCACTCTGTAACTTAACTGACAAAAGGACCAAAAAGGGGCCGGATTTTGAAATTTAGGGACTAAAAAGGGGATTTTTTCGGTACAGGGATCAAAAAAGGGCTTTTTCCTATAGTAGAGGGACCAAAAAGGGTATTTAACCATGGATTTATGACTAAACATTGTTGTTTTGCAACATCTCATCTCAAACAAATATCTTTCTAATAGAGTTCATATTTAAAAATTTAGGGGCTTTGTTTGATGCATCCAACTCAAATTCTCAACCAGTTTGACATCCACACCATTGTATCCTGCAGCAATAAGGGATGATGAACTGCTTCGAAAACACTAACCACATTAAAAAGTATGGATAAATAGATTAAGCAATTCAATAACTACAAAAATAATAATAATCAACCATAAAAACTTGACACTCTCATACAATTAACATCCAAACATTAACTTCCTAAGTGATGTCTCGCCCCAAAATTAATACCCTTCGGCTAATTGGTTGTTGTAGCATAGCTTTAGGTGTCGAATCCACAGGGAAGCTATATTAAACCAACAAAAAGAGTTGTCACAATGAGAAATTAAACTGAAAGATAAATTCTAAAATTAAGAATAAAAATATTTAAATAAAATATGATAATTATGAAGGATTAGAAACGATATTATGATGAACAAGACTTTAGGATTCACTTAATTGATTTGTCTAACTGTTATAAATTTTGATTCCTATTCTTACTCAATTGCCTGTTTCACATCCCAAACAAACAATCGGAAGATTTAACTTTGAACACCAATAATAATAACCGATGTATTTATTTTGAGAGAAATTAATTTCAATGAAGAACAAACTGATCTATCCTTAGAAGCTATCCGAGAGCGACAATATATTTAATCAACAATACTGTAATAAATGATCAATCCGCAAAACAAATCTATCAATTAATTATATTCTAACAAATCACACATAAAAAGAGCATGACTAATCTTATATGAGATTTGATAAATATAATTTTCAAGGTTTTTAAATCTGAAAAATAATTAATAATCTCTCAAAAATAAAATTAAACAATAAAATCCATAAAGAAATCAAAATAAAATAACAAGTCAAACTCCTCAATTAAGATCCTCCTTAGTTTTGTTTAAAGTTTAGTTGTTCTTTGACATAATTCTCTAGCCTTAGAAAAGAAGAAAATAGAAGCCTAGGAACTGTTTCTCTATATGCTAAACCTAGTTTTCAAGGTTCCTATTTATATTAAAAATAAAATAGGAGTATTTGGTAACTAGGATAGCAGCCCTAGGGAATTAATTTCATTTTTTTCTTTCTTCCTGCACAGTCTTGTCGGAGAGGGGTTGGAACCTCAATGAGGGTGCGGAACTCTTGATGTTTCTGTTTTGTGCAACACTACCCAAGGATTGGAACTTGGAACAGGTTACGGAACCCTTGATGCTACTGGAATTCCTTTCGCGTTGGTCACGGCAACTTCATGGACTTGCTAACTTTGCTCTTAATCAAATATGGAGAAATTTCACTCTAGCCTTCAAAGTTCCAGATTTATCCTTGGATCCTCATCTTTCCAGCTCTTTGCATTTAAGTCCTTTTCTTCTAATTCTTCTTCATTCAACATCAAACCTTTAATCATCACAAAATTCGCACAACATGAATAAAATGAACACTTATGAAATTACTTATAAGAAAATACAACTCTTAAGCCCATAATTCCACAAATGTCATTGGTTAAGCACACTTTAAATATACATTTTCATGCTTTCATCACAACCCCCAACCAGCTTATTGCTAGTCTCTAGCAATTTAAGCGTGAATTAAGAAAGAAAGCATGCTAATTAGCTCAAATGGATATCTAGTAAGACTACCTAGGCATTTAGAAAAAGATCATAGTCGCTATCAAGATTACTTCAATTGCAACTTCCAAAAGTGTATGTGTGTGAGCTAAGCAAAACCTTCATACCACAAACCACAACATATATAGCCTTGAGAATTAATCAAAGTAAAAGCCTCAACTCCATATCCTCACAAGTTAATAACTATTTAAGGCAAAGGATTTCTCTCATGGAGTTGGAAACAGCAAGTCACTCAAAGAAAAGGGCAAAATTTAATAGACAATCAAACAAATAAACATTGATTAGAAGATAGGCTAGTTAACTATTCAAAATTCCACTACTCTTACTCCAAACTAATTTCAGGATTTCAATCAATCAAATATGAGAGCAATACAAGTAGAGCCTAGTGAGAAAAACTGTTTCCTAAAAAGCAAGTTTGTCTTCTAAATTGATGGAAGACTTTTATTTGGTAGAATTTTTTCTTTTTTTTTGTTTTCTTTTTCTTTTTCATTCTGCTTTTTTTTTCAACTTTTTTTTTTTGAATCTTCTAAAACAAAGGAGGGAAAACATAGAATTTCTCACATAACTAATATCACATGAACTATTCCAAAGGCTTTACTCACTCCATATAACGTCTCAACCATTGTCCAATAATTTGGAAGACTCTCCCAAGAATGCATGCTTCAATCCTTCACAAGGTGGCATCTCCATTGAAAATGGGTTCAAATGTTTCCTATCATATAGCAACTCCTTAAAGCCTGGCTGTAAAACTTTTCTGTGTTTATCCTAGCTAGCATTAGAAATAGAGGAAACATTAGAATGATCATTCAAAAAGTCATAATCTAAATCAGAGTCACCAAGGAGGTATTCTAAAGATTCAAAATTTTTCCTTTCATATACTTCCTCAACCAGTGAATCTATCATGTAGGTTTGATAACACTCATCGTCATCATGTAGTTGCTTCCCAACATGAAAAATATTCACCTCAAGAGTCATATTCCCAAATGAAGGTTTCATCAAACCATTCCTACAATTAATAAGAGCATTAGCAGTAGCAAGAAATGGCCTTCCTAAAATAAGTGGAATCTTTGACTCACTATTAACTTCAGATTGAGTATCTAAAACAAGAAAATCAATAGGATAATAAAATTTATTGATATGAAGCAGAACATCTTCTATTATCCCTCTTGGTTTCCTACAAGAACGATCAGCCAACTGTAATACCACAGATGTGGGTTTTATCTCTCCAAGACCTAGTTGCAAATAAACTGAATAAGGCATTAAATTCACACTTGCTCCTAAATCCAAAAGAGCTTGACCAAACTCTTGTGACCCAATTTGACAAGCAATTGTTGGGCACCCTAGATCTTTGTACTTTGGCGGTGTTTTTTGCTCAATTACCGCACTTACCTGTTATGCAAGAATGCAGTTTTGTTGACATGGTGTTTCCTTTTCATGGTGCATAAATCCTTGATTACTTTGGCATAAGTTGGTACCTGTTTAATCACATGCAACAAAGGTAGATTAATCTTAACTTGTTTCAAAATTTCTAAAATCTCACCTTAGTTGTCTGAAATATTTCTAGTTCTAAGAGCCTGAGGGAAAGGAACTCGAATTGGGATCTCCATCTTAGGTTCTTCCAATAGGTCGTCTTCATGGCTACTTGGAGTAGCATCCTTCAGTTGAGGTGATTTTTGCAATGGCTCTATAACCTTACCAGTATGAGTAGTGATTGCATTGACCCCTTTAATGTTCTCAGAATTAGAGGTAGATTCATGCACAAAGTGTAAATTTTTAGGATTAGCTTGAGGTTGAGATGGAATCTTACCTCGTTCTTGGATAGTAAGAGCATTGGTCAACTTAGTTAGTTGACTCTTGACATCCTTGTTTTCTTCAACCACTTGTGTAAGAATAGAATCAAACTTTTAGTTAGTCTTATTTTGTGCCTCCATAAATGCCTTAAGTGTTTCCTTTAAAGGATCCTTATCTAGTTATGCATTGTATTGAGGTGTAGGGTAAGACCTAGGTGGTTGAGCTTCACTATTCCACATATTGTTGGATGATGTGGGATGGTTCTGATCATTCTTCCAACTAAAATTTGGATGGTTCCTCCAACTAGGATTGTACATCTCTGAATAAGGTGAAAAAGGTTTCCTAACCATTCCTAATTCATTGCATTGTTCTTCATAAACCCTTCTCATCTCACCATAGGTTGGGCAATCCTGAGCTAAATGGTCCAATCCCCCACAAACAAAACATGGTGCCTGAACTGTGTGGGTGACTCTATTTTTCATTTTTAAGGTCTCAAGTTCACTAGTTGCAACTTCTAATTGGGCTTTAAGGTTATCTTCCTCCCTAAGGTGGTAAATCCCACATGATCGTGACCTACTAATACTATTAGTGGCACTAGGTCCTGTCCAAGTGTGAGCTTTTTCAACTAATTCATTTAAATAATCTATGGCTTCTTCTGGGTCCTTATGCAAAAACTCCCCATTAAACATCATCTCTATGAATTGACACTCCCTACTAGTTAAACCCTCATAGAAATAACTAACCAACCTCCAAGTTTCATACCCATGATGTGGACACAAGTTTTGTAATTCTTTAAACCTCTCCCATGCTTGGTATAAGGTTTCAATATCCTTTTGAGAAAATGTGGAGATCTGTCTTTTAAAATTATTAGTTTTATGGTGCGAGAAGTACTTGTTAAAGAAAGCTTGAGTCATCTCTACCCATGTACCTATAGATCTCGATCTCAAAGAATATAACCAAATTTTAGCTGTCTTTCAAGGAGAAGGGAAAGAATTTCAACCTAATTGTGTCTATCGTGTTAGCTCGACTATGAAAAGTAGCTACGACCTCGTCAAACTCCCTAATATGCACATATGGATTTTCATTCTCTAAACAATGGAAACTAGGCAAAAGTTG